CCATGGCTGGCTGGGGAATTCTGGGAATTGAAGTCCAGACATCTTCAAGTGGCTAAGGTTGAGAAACACTGATCTGGACAGGCCAAAACAGCTGCCAGGTCCCCATGAAAATCTCATCCCATTCCTCTGTTGCCAGGAGGGGGCATTGCCAACAGCACCCCCCTTCTGAAATGTAGTGAGGGGGAGAAAAAAGGGGATCTCTTAGAGCTGGTGGGTGCCCTTTTTCTTTGCCAAAAGACAATGGTAACATCTCCATTTGTGTCTCATTTTTTTGGTGATGATGATTATGTGGCATCATTGTCGACTCTTAGTGACCACATAGATTTTCTCCATGATGATCGGTCCCTACTTGGTCCTTCAGCATTTCCAAAGTTTTTTTTTTCCCTAAAGGGTACGGTATAAATCTATAGTTCGATAAGGAAACAGAAACAACCCCCTTTTCCCTTCTTCCCTACAATCCGACTCACTAACCCATTTTTTTTAAACATGCCTCTTGTGATGTATAAATCTAACATACCGGTTGCGCTCACGCAGCACACTAAGCCAGGTTTACTGAACCGTGGTTGAGTGAACATACAAGCCACCCTTCGCTGGGTTCGTGCAACATCTCAGACCCACGCCTTGCGGGTGCAATTTGGGCTTGCACAAGCCTTCCCTCCATGGGCATCCTGCTTGTGCAATGGGTCTCGTTCCAGATTCCAAAGCGGGAGGACGAAACTCGGCTGCTTCTGGGCCTTTCCCCGGACCGAATTGGACACGGGACGTTTCTTCACGCGTCAGAATCGGCCGCACGGGACCTGGTGGAGCTCGTGAGGCAGAACAGGACCCCTCTAGGCAAGGGAAGACTTGGCACGGAAGCTGGGCGATGGGTCGTGGGCGGGCGGGGGATGATGGGCCATCCAGCATTTCTGGAAGCTGACCTTCAGCGCTGAGAGGCCCCGTTTGCAATGGGGGGAACCGTGGTGGGCGCTCTTGTGAAAGGGCTGCCAGCCTGAGCATTTACCAAATCTGGTTTAACGGACCCGAAACTAGCCCAGAGGCCTGACGCGGTGTGGGTGGAAAGAGGGCACAAATTTGAATTGCTGACAGACGAATGCCACCCTGCCTTCGCCAAGTCAGCTAGACTAGATCAGTGTTTCTCAACCTTGGCCACTTGAAGAGGGGTGGACTTCAACTCCCAGAATTCCCCAGCCAGCCGTGAGAAACACTGGACTGACTGACTTGGATTTTTCTCCCTCCCCTCCTTTTTTTCATTTCCCCCCCTCAGAACTCTGCCTGACGTCCAACCTCAAAGGCGAGACGGTACCCTCCAGGGCCCAGCACCATTTCGGATTCTGGTACCCCCTTGGCCACCCCGTCGTCCTTTGCGTAAGGCGCTTTGGGTTCTCTTGGGTGCCAAGCGGGGGCCGGAGCCTCTTTCTCACAAATGCTACGGGCCCCGCATGGCAGCATCAACCCACAGGTCCTAAAAAACGACGCCTTTGCTTTGCTTTGGCCGAACCCCCGTTGGTGCACCCCAAGAGGGAGGCGCGTTCTCATCATTTCTCTCCTCCCTAGACGGACGACAAAGGCGTTTTTGCTACCGAGCTGTCTCAGGAGTACCAGCTGGTTGCGGAGACCTTTCGGTTGTCCGACGAGCAAGTCTGGGCACTTTGTTTGGACGCCATCAACCACATCTTTGCTTCCAGCCACACCAAAACGAAGCTGAGGGAGCAATGGCGGATGCTGAAACCCACCCTGCTGGAGTAGCTTCGTGGAGAATGCCAGGACCCAAGCTGTGGGCTTCGTTGAGGGTTGTGTTGTGTGTGTCCGTTTGTAGAGTTTGTTGGTTGGGTGTCTAGCCTGCCTCTCTGCTGATGATGCAAGGGGATCTCCCTAGCATGTCCTCTTGTTTTTTTCCACCACCACAACTCTGTGTGCTGGGGGAGCATGTCTGGCTTCATGTCACCCAAGGAACTTGGGGTGGACTTGAACCTGGGTCTTCTAACATCTCCACCACTAGAATCACCCCACGCCCTCCTGCTGCGCCAATTAGCCTCAGTATGGAAGCCTAGATCCTGATTCACATTAAGCCATAAGGTGGGCTGATGTTGGCTTGGCGTTATGCAAACTTAATTAATGACAGTTTTGCCTGCAAATCTCTTTAAGCAAAGGATGGGTTAATTGCTCCAGAGTTTAAATAACCCTCGAGAGAAGGGGCAGGATTGTACTGTAATATGTGTTCACTTAATCACAACCATAGCATCTCAGGGAATATTACTGAAAACTTTCTAGGTTGCTTCCGTACCAATTCTTGTAGCTCCCCTCAAACGACCGTTTGGTTTCACTCATTTAACCCATCTCTGACTTCACGGTATTCAGTGGACTCGCTGGGCTCAACCTACTAACCTGTAAACCGTGGTTTATAAGCCCCATGGTGGGATTATCACAGCATCCTCAAACAAACTACACCACCACCTTGGCTTCTGTCTTACTCTCTGGTGCAAAGAGGGCCTTTTGAAAACGAATGGCTATGTTAAAACTTAAGACGGTGTGGTCTGAATGGAAAAACCACTATTTCTGGGGTCCTGAAAGAACCCATAAAATGAAAAGAACAATCAACACCCCCCCCAAAGAAGCTTGATGCATTTTCATGCTTTATATCTGAGCAGCTGGATTCCAAAGGAAGGACGGGGAGACGGATCCTCAGTGCCCCCCAATTCTGAATGGCCACCCTTAAAGGTTGGTGTTTCCTCCAAGATAGTCCAGGTTCTGCCTCCCTCCCCCCCCATAAAATTCCCCAATTCTGCTGCTGCCTCCGATGTTTGCAAAGAGAAAAGCTGGAGTCAATTTATCCTGGCCAGTTGTTCTGACCTGGGAACTGGCAAATTTAATAAAGTCCCAAGAGCTTACAGACATTCCCTGTGGATTTTCTGTCTTTCTTTCTTTCCTTTCTTCCTTCCTTTTCAGCAAGTCCAGAGCCAAAGCCGGTCGCACACTGCAAAGGGCCAAAGAGAGTCGTACCAGGCGAGGGCCAGGAGGCAATCTCTTCCGCTCGAGTCGGTAGAAAATACCCCAGCCCTTCCTAGCAGTACGAGATAAGGCTGCTCTGCTGATTTCTTTCCTCTCCCCCAATGATTTTTTTTGCGGGGGATTACAAGAATATGCTCAATGGGCAATAGTGGATTCACACAAAACGGAGGCTAAAACGAGCCATCTTTGTGAATGCCTCAACCATGGTTCAGATAACCACGGGTATACTTTGCAAACGCAGCCTTTGAAGAGGGTGGTCCGCCTAATCCCAGACCTGTGCAGAAGCAGAAAGGCAAGGTCTAAATTCATCGATTAGTAAAAACATGCTGAGGGCATCTCTCCCTCCCTGAGAAAGCAGCTGGCTTTGTACCTTGTGCTAGCCGTCAAAAGCATTTGGTTTCGTTTTGGGTTCACCCCATGAGTGAGCGAACCTAGCTCTCGCGGCTTAGCCCTTAGCCAGGATTGGGGCATTTTCACCAGGCTGTGGCGAAGCCATGATTTAGTGGACGGTGAGTTTCCACCCATGGGCGATGGAGAACCCTCCTGAAATATGGTCAGTAAACGGGAGGCAGAGAGAAGAAGGCGTCACTAACCGAATGGCTTGCCCGCTGTTCTCCATGACTTAGTGGAGTTGATTACGTTGACGTAATTAATCCACTTCTGCTCCCAGGCAGGGCCGGGTCCTGAAAGGGAGAATCCAAAACTCTTCTACAGATCCATGTGTGGAACATTCTCTCATTGCAAATAAACAAAGGAGCTATGTTCTCATCTCCATAACACAGTGTAGGGGAAGTGGGGATGACTGTTCATTTCCAGATCTTCTGTTCTCTTAGATTTGAGGCTTGTTAGACAGAGCTCCCATTCCCCCCTTCCCCCTGTTGTTATGGGTTGTTTTGCAATTCAGCATCTGGAAAGCCCCAAGTTGGTGTAATGGGCAGAAGGAATAACCCTGAGGAAGAGGAGGAAGAGCCGCAACCAAGACAACAGTCAGATAAAAGAAACTTGAGTCTGGGGCAGAACTGTAGTCCGAGAAAGCATCTCAGAAAAGACCCTCCCTAGTTCTCGTGAAGACAAAGGGAGGGAGGTGCATTCAGACTTGCAAGATTCTGATACTCTAATCTCATAATAAAAGTAGTGTTAGCTTGTGTGTCTTTAGTTTCCAAGTTTGGTCTATCTTGGAGGGCTGATGGTTGGCCAATGAAGTTGTGTAGGATTGCAGCGGTCTTGGTTGGGATAATTTGCTGGTTTACTTCAGGGCATCAGTTGGCCATTTTGGAATAAGAGGTGGCCCAAAGAACCAATACAGATGGTTGGAATCTCAGGGCACATTGAGCCATATTCTGGCTTGGGCTAGGTACCTTGTATGAACCCAGCTCTGCTGGTTTCCTACTCATGGTTAATGGGAATTTGAGGGAGTCTTTCCTTGTTCAGCAAACCAGGATCAAAACAAAATGATGTCTTAGTGGAATGAGTAACGAGTCAATGACTTTTCCAAGGTGGGCATGGAAAGAGATTTCAGGGGATCTGTAGCTTTGGAGCAAGACGAGTTGCTCACTGATGCTAGGCTGGTATTCTAGTTAACAGCAATGATAACCAAACAAATGCCCAGCGCTTCCTCGGGTCCAAAGGATAGTAAATCCAATTGCTCTTCCCCTGGGGTTCTCCTCATGCCAAGTGGGAACCCTTGACTTTTCTAAGACAGGAAATTGCATTTCTAGTTGTAATCCAAGCTGACTGCCCAAGGCATGGAAACACAAGGGGAAGCCCGGAACAGGGAAAAGATAACCAGGGATGAGCAAAACTGGCAAATACTGGTTTAACTCCCACCATGGTTTTACCTGCCTCCTGAGTCCTATCAATTATCATGGCTCCCCGCTGTTTAATTGCTTCTCTCATGTATCCGTGGTTGTCTACAATCTCAAGAAGAAGAAAAAATAAATCTAACTTGCTTGTGTTAGAGGAGATGCATTTTTTAAAGTAGTCGCTTAAATCAGAGGAACAGGAACCAAAGTGGGAATTTTGATTCTTTCTCATAGAATAATAGTGGTGGAAAGGGGACATCCCCAGCTTTTGAGAAGTCCTTCAAGCATCCTGGGAGGGGACTGTCCAGCTTCTGCTGGAACACACCCTGTGTGGGGTGGGGGTGTTCCTTTAGCAATACTTTGTCTATGTCTGGACCCTCCAGGCTACAACCAGGACAAAGAAAATGACGCTGCAGAGATGGAGCCCCAGGATCATTTTGCAATGCGATACTAGAAGTGGGCTGGTGGAGATTGTTCTAAGTCCAACCCTCTGCTGAAGGCAGAAACCTTGAACATAGGGCATCCTAGAAAGATGGCCTCCCCGCCTCCCCAGAGGCTGCCTTGTTCTGCAACTCAACCATGTTTATCTTCTAATGTTTAGCCCAAAGCAGCTTCCTCACCACTTCCACTCCTCCATTCTACACCGGTTGAAGTTCCCCAGTGTTGTGTAGTCATCTAGGCTTAGAGTGGTCTTTTCCAGTCTGGAGCTTCAAAGGTGTTGAGCTCCATCTCCCGTCATTCTTAACCAACAGGGCTGGGGATTCTGGGAGCTGAAGTCTGAGGCGTCTAGAGTTGGGGAACATTGCTCAACTGCTTCCCCAGATTCAAGGAATCAACCCCAAGGGAGGGAAAAAGGCCAGACTTACAGGGCTAGGAATAAAGAGATAAGGAGGTCTGTCACTGGTGTAGTCAGGAGCAATGGCGTAAGGAGGGAGAAGTGGTCTGCAAAAAACAAAACGACGGAAAAACCTGAAAGGGGCATGTGATGTTAAATTCCCATTCTTCTTCTGTAAAATCAATACATACATACAATCTGACAAATCCCAATTCCCCTCAGCCCACACAAAGATTTAATTCACCAAGACATTGAACCCGATTGCTGAATTAACCCATTTTCTGAACTGAATGATCAGCGAACTCAACAGATTTGCATGACACGCTAAGGCACCACAAAACCGTAACCAAGTTTGGATCATCTTGGGAAGGTCAAGGATTCTGTTCCTTGGGCTAAAAATCCTAAGTTGGGTTGAGTGACCAAAAAGGTAAAATTGTAGGGAACGCTGGCTTGCTTGAAGAATGCATGAACGACAGAGCCCCATCCTCTTTTAATGTAATTAAAGTGTAAACAGGGGTGGGGCTTTGAGAAGTGGCCTCCATCTTGACTTTTTTGATCCTCCCTATAGATGTTCCTGTTTTTGATTATTAAAAGGGATTGATTATGACATAATCCCATTGTTAGATACCACAGCTGTGGAAAAGTTGATGATCTTTGGATGGGCACAGCTCAAGTTGCTGATTTCATTCTCTGAGTTAGCTGTAGATTAAGGATGGATGGTGTCTTCACCAAACGCAGCAGTTACGGCACTCACTGCCACCTGACAGGGGAACAATTCATTTAGATTGTTTTAAAAGGGGACTAGACCAACCCATGGACAATCTGGTATTCTACTAGTTCTGATGGCCTTTTCCAACCTGCTTTATCACATCCAGCATATGTTGCAACAATGTAAGAAGCCGACCCCTCTCTTGCCCAACTTTGTTGGCTTCCTAGATGTACTCAGTTGGCCAACATATGACCCACAATGCGCCTTTCAATGGACTCTTGCCTCATTCCAGCCATGGGATTGTTCTTAAGACCCTTTAGCACCATATTCAGCTAATCTCGCCAAGTGAGTCTCAACTAATTGAGTTCGTATTATGTAAAAACAGCATAGTCTATAGGTGTAACTCTAACCTGTAGCAGAAAGCCATCTTGCATTCATCCCAGCCCTTGGCTGGCCCTATGTTTTATGTAGGTCTGTCCCATTGCTTATTAGCAACGATCTCACAATGGATCATACCTACAGCTGCCTGACCATTGTGGCATGAGAAGTTACAACCACAGGCTGGTGGTAATAGCTCTGTCTCTAGTAAAGGACAAATTTCTTAAGAAGCTTAAATGATTGAAGGAACCCAAATGCTTCTATTCTCCTTCATGGGGTGTGTGTGTGTCTTCAAGTCTGTGTTGACCCCTGGTGACTGCCTGGACAAGTCCCTGCAGTTTTCTTGGCAAGATTTTTGGAAGAGGTTGGCCCTTGGCTTCTTCTTCCTAGGTCTAAGAGAGACGGACTGGCCCAAGGTCACCCAGGTGGCTTGAGGCCTAAAGTGGGACTAGAACTGATGGTCTCCTGGTTTTTAGCCTGGTGCCTTCACCACTACACCAAACTGTCTCTCTCCCCTCTTCATGAAGTCCTTCTAAAAGCATGGCTGGTCTTGGCTGATTCGGGAAGCTAAGCAGGATTGAACCTTGTTAGTATTTGGATGGGAGATCTCAAAGAAATCCCAGAGCAGAAAAATTGGGAAAAAAATCCCAAGAAAGCGATGATGGCAAACCACCTCTAGAATTTTGCCAAGAAAAGTGCATGAATGTGTTCATGAGGTCACCAGGAGTCAGCCTCACGTGCAAGAAGGCTTTTCTTTAATAAAAGCATTAATCAGCTGTGGATTTGTGATTTTTCCCCCCCAAGGCCAACCCTGCTAATTTTGTCTGTTTTTGAAGAAAACTGGTATTAACCACCATGCACCTCTCAACCCCAACCCCAGAACGTGAGAATCTTCAGTCCATCCAACTTGGGAGACAGTTTTAAGCCCATGTGTTTTTATTTTATACCACCAGAAATGCCCTTCCTGGTTGGATTCTAGACTAGGAAGCGTCTTTCTGACATCAGACAAAAAGCTACGGGTATCTCAGAAACCCAAGTGCTCCTCAAAAGTAATGGAAGAGAGCAAGAGCGAAAGACTTCAACCTACCACTGGAGGAACAAATACAACTCAGATAATTGCCCTTAGTAAATATATTTGCACTTGGCCGTTTTTCAGAACAGGCACTGGCAAAATAAAAGTTGTGCCCATAAAATGTTTGGCTGCAGCTAGCATTAAAAATAGCAATAATAATGCAACTTCAGGGGCAGGCAAGAAGGCCTCAGACAACACCGATGAAGCCACAAAGATACAAAAGCTTTGGTTAAAAAAGAAAAACAAAGGACAACCCTTGTGCCAAGGGCTTTGAGGATATTCCCCATGCAAAGAATTCATCAGTCGGAGATGCCGTGGCAAGTCCATGTTGAGTAAAAACAGAGCTTATTCATTCTTGGTGACCTTGCTCCTTTCGTGACTGTTATGGAACCCCTTTGTCCCATCAGGTCCCCTGGGCAAACGCAGCACGCCAACGGGCAGTCCAGCAAGGTTGGCCATTTTGGGGCTGGGCTCTGGGCTGCCCACAGGAGTCTTCTCTCGTGCTAGAGTCCGAGCTTGCTGTCGCCGCTGTACCCAGGGGCTACTCGAAGGAGTGATGCTACTGTCCGAAGAGTAATCGGCACATCTTTTCGACATCTCAGGACTCGTGCTCGGAAACCCTTTGCCATCTTCTGCCAGCGGAGACATCCTGGACGTTCTGCGTAGGGAAGAAGGGCTGCTCCAGGGACTCGACCTCGGAGACACGTTTGGGCTGAGATGGTTGTTCGGATAGGCCGAAGGACTTAATTTGTTGGAAGAGTTGCCTCTTCGCCCAGGCAGGGGAGAAGTTGGGTCGCTCTCTTGATCAGAGGAGCTATTGGCCGACAGTTCTTCACCAACATCTTGAAGTTCTTCAACTCTCTTATTCATCGATCGTGTCTTGCCTGGGACCTTGGCAGAGATCTTGTCATGGCTTTTCTCTTTGAGGACCTTCTTCTTTGGAGGCTTCATCCCAATGAGGATGACCTTCATGGTGGCTTTGTCTGTGATGCAGAACGATTTGTGAGCTCTGATCGCAGCATCAATCTCTTCAAATTCTATGATGGCACATTCTTTGGTTCCCACCAGGCTATAACGGCTACTGAACTTCTTGATATCTGGTGGAAGATCCCTCCCGGGCTTGAGAATACGAATGGACAAAATGACACCAAACTGGACAAAGGCCTTGAGGAGATGCTCCATGACCTTCTCTCGGACTTCTCCATTCTCCTGTCCTTCATCCAGAGGGCAGAGATCATATGTTAGGGAGATGTCGTAGACAAGAAGCATTCGGCTAGGGATGTTTTCACCCGGGAACACAGGAACGGGGGCATTTCGCCGAACCTTTCGGCCATCTTCGTTCAGCTCCAGGAGGTCAGAATATTTCAGAGCGTAAGCTGTAGTTCTCCAGTCCCGAGTCAGTTGTTTTATCTGGTAAGAAAAAGGAGGAAGTTGAGCAAAGGCCAGAACAATTCAATATGCCGTATATTAGCATAAAAAAAGACAGAAGTCAGACTCTGCAGAGAGAACCAGTTGTGGAGTCCTTGGGGCTCTCTGAGCTTGGTTGATGGCTTGCAGTTATTTCATTACTGGACTAGGGAACGTCATCAGTGCTATCCTCAATGATCAGTGCATCATCACTAATCATCAGCAAGCACTGATGATGTGACCTAGCCAGGTAACAAAACGTCTGCTGTGAGACTAGGCCGAAGCTGCCGTAACTAAAGATGAACCAGCCACCTAAGCAGAGAGGACAGAAGCCAGGAAACTTGTCTATGAGATCCCTTCGGGGAGGTAGATAAGAAGGAAGCACGTCGTCAAGGAAACAAAGGACCTGAAGCAGGCAAAAGAAGGTGGGCCTGAGCCCATGGAAACCCTCACCCCAATCCCATCCACTTGTAAATCAACCCAGCAAGTACTTTTGGGGATAAAAGGGGTCCCAAAGCCTGCCCACTCTGAGTCGTCTGAGTCATCTTTGGATCCAGACCTGGCGGCTTTGTCCCTCTTGCTAGCGCCTGGCAGCCTAGTTGGGAAGGAGGTGGCTAAGTGTGGATGAGCACACGCGCGTGTGTGTATGAGAAGAGCAAATGCACCTTGCAACCAGTAAAGTTTTGCCGTTACTTTAAATTCACTGGGTCTCCGTGTACTACAAAGAACTTCTCCTGCCTCAGAGTTCAGTTGGAAGTGATCTGTGTGTATCCCTAATTAACTCCCGGCTGTTGACCAGGGCTGCGTGTCTGTCTGCTCCAGCCGCACCTATTTGGAAACCCAGGTAGAAAGCAACGGGGGCTGACAAGATTGGCGTGCTTCAACAGGCTGTGAGTGTGTGAGTGAGTGACCGACCATAAGCCGAACCTGGGAGCAGCGTGTGCAAGCAACCACCCAAGCTCAGAGAGCACCAAGTTCAACCCTGAACTACAGATTCTCTCCTATTAGGACCAATCATGCTGGCCAATTATGAGTTATTTACATTTATGTTACTTCAGCCTTCCCCACTTGGCACCCCCCCCCCACAAATATCATTTCAACGAGATGGGCGGTGACAAAATTGATATATAAATAAATAAAATAAAAACCATGCTTAAAACAGACTATGGCTTAAATCAGCCTGTCAAATCTAGTTGCTTGACAACCTTAGCTTATTCCGTAAAGTTGGCGTGAGTCGAGTAAGGAGTATTCTGTGCGTCACCTTGGCCTCCTGGACCTAAAGTGAATCAATACATACATTTTGGAACACCCTTCTCCCCAGCCCACGGGCGACAGGGCTGCTTTGTGCGGGTCAGGCCACGTTTTGCCAATACTTGCCTTTTTGAACGAGGTCAGCAGCTTCACGCTGACGTACCCCATCTTGTTCCGTCGGATGTGCTTCAGGAGAAAAGCATCTTTTGCCAGGTTGTCATCGGAGAAGTAATATTCGATCTGAGTCACCAGCTTCAGGATCAGCTCGTGCTCCGGGGGCTTCCAATCGGGGGCCGAATCGTCCCCATCGTTCTCACTGGCAAAAGGAAGAACGAGAAGATCACGGTCCCCGAGGGCTTGGCTTGATTTCTCAAGGGAAAATAGTGCCTTCCTGAATCCCGCAGGAGGTCGAGAATCAGCCCAAGGGTGGCTTCACGCTGGCCTTTTTTAGCGCTGTTGAGACATTTGTTACACAGCCAGTCGGAAGCGTAACCCGGTTGGCGGCTTCGCATCTCCCTAACTCCTGCTCTCCGGATGAAGGACAGGAGAATGGAGAGGTCCGAGAGGACATCAAGGGGCATCTCCTATTCAGAGCTACATGAAACAAACCACAATACGGGCCAGGATGGCTAACTGGTGACAAGCAGGTCCCACTCATCCAAGCTTCTATACGATGGCCCAGTGGCCCTAATTTGTTTAATTGATTTGCATAGCCGCTCTACTCGGCACACGACGCAGGGCAGCGGACGTCATCGAAAGAGTAATAATAATCAAAAAAGCCCGTAATGGCACAAGACGGCAGAACGCCATTCCCCAAAGCAGCGTAGAAGTGGTGTCGGAAAATGGCTCATTCAGCGGGTCACACCACGCCCAGCTCAACGCCAGCGGGGGGAAAAAGCAATGGGTGAAGAAAGAAGAAAGCAAATATTTCTGGGAGCAACACGGGAAAGAATCTGGCGCCCAGCAAATACTCGCAAGATACGTCTTGTAAGTTCGCAAACGGGGAATAATAATTCAATATTGATTGCTTAAACTTGCATGCTGCCCGGCTCTCACCGACTCAATGAATGCTACCAAGGTAGTTTTTGCACGCTTACCCACTGGCAGCACAACCTGCCTTCTCTTGCATTCACACAACCACTTTTAACACGCCGTGTTTACAGCGTCATTCCCATCCTTGGAATTGCTGCAACACCCTTGAGTTTTGTGGGAAACGGAGTGAGCCTTTGTATATTACACTAAACCAGAATTGGGTTTTACCTTGGCCGATCTTGAACAGATAAGCAGGATCAGACCCAGCTAGTACGTGGATGGGAGACCACTAGGAAATGCCCAGGACTGGCGGGTTAAAAAAAAAACTCTATTGTTGCCAAAGAAACCACCAGAGTGAGCCGAGTTCCATCTGAAGGCGACATCTTTTAGTGGCTGTAGTGTGCAAACCACTTAAGGCTTACTCCACAACCATGGTTAACCATGGAACTGCACCTATTCCACCACCCTTTCTGCCTTCGGAACGGAGCAAAGTCTTTTTCTTCAGTGGGACTAAAAACACCTTCGGCAGGGCTCTCGCTGGATTTTAGTTCCTGATTTTTGACTTTCACTTGGAGTGCCGGTGAGCAGAAAGACGGGCCGGGAAGGGAACGAGTAATAAACAGATCAAGCGAAAAGGAAGCTTGGTGGACACGTTCATTGTAACGATAAAAGAAAATATTATATAAATTTGAGCAATAAATAAATAGGAGCACGCATTTGTGTGATTCTCAGTTCCAAGAATCTGTTCCTTTCCACATTCCTTGAAAGTTGCTCAACGTGTTTGGATGTTCTGGGCTGTACTCACAGGCGTGAAAACAGTCTGGACCAGGGTTTCTCAACCTTGGCAGCTTCAAGATGGGTGGACTTCAACTCCCCCATCTTAACAGTGCCCAGGGTGAGAAAAACAGGCTGGGGGATTCTGGGAGTTGGAGTCCACCCATCTTAAGGTTGCCCAGGGTGGGAAACACTGGAGAAGTCCAATGGGAATGGGTGGGGCTTAAGTCACCAGGGGGAAGAGCCAGAAGAGAAAATGGGCAGGGCACTCATTCCCTTTTCCCCCAAAGCTTTTGGGTGCTGACCTCTTCCTCTGACTCGCTCTTCCGTCTCCTCCTTTCCAAGAAGCCCACCAGATCCTCACTCTCCTTGCAGAGCTCGCAGCCCCCCAGCTGCTCTCCCCCTTGGGAGAACTTGCAGCCATCACAAAGGAGAGGACCTCGCCCCCCGCTCCGTGCCTTTGCAGACGGCACAACCCCAGCCGACGGTGGCTTCTTCATCAAACCGGGTTGCCCTTTCTGAGATTTTCCCAACGTCTCTCGGACGCCCTACTTTCTCCCAAGCAGCGAGACCGCCCTGGGAGGGAACCCAAACCCTCGGCCCCCGTCCCAGCTGAAGACCCTCCAGCCCCCTCGGAGGCTGGCAAATGACAGGGAGGTCGGGTGGAATGCCACAGGGAGGGAAATGTCCCCTGAGGCCATCTTTGCGGGGGCTCAATTCCCTCCCCACCCAATAAAATGTCAGAGGAGCAGCTGACTCAGACGGAGGGAAGAAACGGCTGTTTACCCAGGAAAGCCGTGATGGGAACCAGATGCGGGGCGGGGTGGGCGCGCTCCTCCCCAGCATCTGGAGCAGAAGGACCTCCCGCCCAGCCAAGTGCCAAGTCAGCAGGAGATCCCCTTCCCGGCATCGCTGCCCCTTCCCAAGGACTGGGGGGGTGGTGGGACCGGCCTTCCCGGCTGCCTGCCCAGGATGACTTTATAGCATCTTGCCCGGGGCCAGAGGGGAGGGACGTGGAGACGGTTGGTGCAACATCCGGCCTCCTTTGCAGCAGCCCGGCGGAGGGTGCCAGCATGGGCTTTTCCTTGGGACGGGGGGGGGG